ATGAAGAGAGGACATTGTGTCACACCATTACGTCGCCAGACTACCAGATTCCATAGAAACCTGCTCAAGATTGCCCCAAGGTTGCTACACTGTTCTCGTGCGTGCACGACAGAAATCGGATATATATCATTTCTCAGTTCGTCAAAGCTTGTTTTTGATAAATTAGGCTTGGGCAACGTCGAGAATTCATATGTCGCATAAGCGCAAGAGACTTACACATGCAAATAGCCGTGAAAATCAGCATAATCAGGGAAATGCAGCCAATGATAGCAGCGTGTTTTTCGAGATCAGCTCTTTCTTCCATTGCCTTCTCTAATGCTGCTTTGCCCTTCTCTGACACGCTTTTGGCACTTTGCCGGTCTTAGCGCATTATTCCTTTTCGAAATCTTTGTGTAATTTAAACACTAATATCATTCATAAATAGTGGAGATGAATTGACACTTAATTTTAATTAGAAACTTTATTGGTAATGCCTTTTAATAAACACGATGCCAGAAAGTGATCTGTACTAAACTCAAACGCTTTACTACCCAGACTTGGGAAGTACTGTTAAGAAATCGAGCCCGCATTGAAAAAAATTCTGAATTTTTTTACGACTTTGTTTTGAAAGGGATTGTGTTTTCGGTTTGCAGTGGTTGAGCAAAATTAAATCACTTTTTTTCCATTGAAGCACCTACCCGCGAAAAACTCGTGTTATTTTTTTGCCAATAACGTTTAGTTTGTGTGCACTAATGTTAGAGTTTTTTATGAAAAAGGTAGCATCTGTGACATTTGACTCGTTTATGAAGCAATGTCTACTAGTCTGTACACGGGATACTGCGATAAGGAAGCTGAGGGCAAGTGTCGGGGGAAAATCCATTATATCGGTATGCGATTCCTGGGAAACCCCAAAATGTATTGAGGACCGTGTAAGACTTTGTGTTGCATAGACGTGGATTTAAACACTGCTACAGCCGCTGAAAGTAAGGCGTTAAGTGACCAGTTTCTTTCTGGAAGACTGGAGTAGGAAAAAAAATTAGACTATTATATCCAGTAACCCAAATTTTGACGCAACTGCACTATGATGCAACAGGATAACATATCAGGTTGGAGGAAGTGGTAGGAAAGTAGTTAGACAACACACACGCACATTCACGACATAGGGGGTTGGGGGATTGAGGCACTTGGGAAGGACGGGAGGGTTGAAGTTGGGTGGAACTAGGCCTCATACTCGTAGACCAGGAGGTTGGGGGCCACTGGGTGGTTCGAACTGCTGGTCGGAGCTCGCAGCTTGGACCTGGACACCTCGGGAGAACCGAGGCGTTTTGAGACGGAGGGGATACGATGCAGGGACGTGCTGTTGTTGCTGATTCGCGAAGGCGGTCTCGGGGGCATGGGGGCGAGGTTGGGCAAATACGCGCCACGTCGAGGGCTCTCACCTAATTCAAAACGTGCAGTAAACAGGGTCAACGAAGCAGCATTCGCTTATTGTATGTGCCTAGGTGGCTTCCTACTAAAGGTTGGTACCGATTATATTTACCTTATATTGCCTCTGACCATTTTTTATTTGTTTTACACGATAATTGAAGTAAAAGAACTCGAGCTCACTTAAAGCGGACTGGGAGTCCTCGCTGACACTTCCTCCTTCCTTGGAGGATGCCACGCTAATGGCATCACTAAGTCCATGGACTGAGTAAGCATCGTAGGCAAGGGGATTAGGCACCTTGATCTGTATTTCAGCAGAGTTTTTATCAATGCCGCTGCCTTCGTTCTGCTCGCCTTCAGAGGAAGGTGTTAACTCGATCTCCCTATCTCGGAACAACGCCGGTTTCTCTGCCATCAGTCGTCTTCTTCCTGGGTTTTTGTTGATTTCAGATCTAAGTGCTTGTAGGCGGTAATAATCGCGACAGTCCTTGTGACCACAGCTCATGGTAGGTTGGTATGAGCTGCCCGGGAAACCAGTGGTGCGCAAAGCTCTATTCATATCAGGCATGCTGCGGAAGGCATTGATTCTCAAGCCATAGGTCACAAGATTTTCATAACCTCCGTTATCCCTTGTATTTTGGTGTGCACAAGTTGTGCTGGAGGTGCATGAAGAAGAGGAAGACAAGCAAGATGCCGGACTGTTACTACTACCACTGCTGCTACTGCTACCATTCTCTATAAAATCATGGCTATCATAAAGACGAAAGCGCGATGCGACGAGAGAACGCGTTCGCGGATTCTCCGTGGTCATTCGACACTTGAGCATGCGAGTCCTCTGGGAAGAATCTGCGGTGTCCGTGCTGTCTGTTTTCTGACGCAGAATAGATGGCTGCTGTTGGTAGTGGTGTTGCTGTTGACGGAAGCCTTTTGCATGGACTGTTTGCTGGGTTTTAGGTTGCTGATTTAAGCGAGGCTGCGGTTGGTGTTGGTGATACGGGAAAGCAGTGGATTCGTCCAGAGATTTTGCAGAGTCGCCTCCACCTATAGTGCAAATAATGAACGGGAGTACTTTAAAATTGTCTCCGAATTTCAGCATGGACACGCGTATTGTTTCCATCTTTTGTGCTGATTAATTTGCTGGACATTGTTTGGAATGTGTTTATTTTGAAAGGCGGATTTTATCACTTAAGAACAACTTGAAGGCCGTAATAAATACCAAAACCACCACAAAACCTCTGCATTTGCTGTGATCGTATATTATAACTCCTATTTTGATGACTAAATCGATCGATTCACTTTTAGCAAAGCACTAAAATGGTCTAGGCAGCCGTGTTTTTATGCATAGATTTCCGAGTAGATTAGGTCGTAGGCTCAAAACTTTAATGCAAGCAGACGCAAATCCTCCGAAAGAAGATTGGGTCGACTGAACTATCCCGACGTTTAATTATAAACGATGTTTTCATTTTGAAGACCTTCGAGTACTTGACCATCAATATAACAGGGCGATGGACGTTCCACGAACTTCCACACAGTCTTGCTCGATAAGGTCGCAGGACGAAAAAATGGCTGATGCCAAGTCAGATGAGCATTAGTCAGTATTTAGGCTACTCGCATTCGGGTAGAGAAGGCGATACAGGACATAAGTGGACAAAGTAGGGCATAAGATAGTATTAGTTGTAGGTCTGTAGACAGATAGCCGAAAGTCATTCAGCCTTAGATACAGTTGGTTACACTGTAGGTTTCTTAATATTTCAAACCGGGCTACGGAATATCACATGAGCCAAAATCACCTAATAAGTGGTAAATAATGCAATTGAAGAGATTATGAACCGTAAATGCAGAAATCGCCTAAATTCAGTTTACTAGGTATGAGTGCAATTTAGTGGAACAAATGCCAGCGGAATTCTGCAAGATTGGTGGTGATTTGGATGAGTTTCTTCTGGTACTTCATTGTGGTGAACCCACAACTTACCTCGGTCGGCACTTATCCTACCTCATTATTCACCCTGCTTAAGCGGACACTCCCGGGCATTTCTGTGGAGCATAACTCACACCGCACACTTTGTTATTCTGTCGCCCTCTTTCAGTTTGTTAGTGTGTTTCTAAATCCATTGGTCAAAACCACCAACATTCATTTCCCTCGCTGCAGACTTGCAACCCTGGATACATGGCAAATTGTTTAAGCTGTCTAGTAAACGGTTGTCTCCCCATCGTCTCTGGTCTACTTTTAGGTTCCTCTGGGTGCCTCCTATAGCGCCTTGCTGTAACATTAGGTTAACCATTTCGTTGCTTTCCATTGATTAATTCTCCTGCACTTACCAAGGGAATTTTGTGACACTGATATCACTTGGGTACTAGGCTAAATCACCAAACCAGGAAATACCATGGCACCTAGAGTTTTGCGTCAACAGAAGTCAGTGGTATTGCTCTATCAAGGATCCCAACATAAAACTCCTTTCACAGTTTGAACTGTTCACCGAAGGAGACAAACTTCAAAATTTGGGTGCTTACTGCAAGAAAGTTAGGTCTTGCGGAAATAACTAAACGGACTTCGAGGCCAGCTGGTGTATTATTTGGGATACCCATAAGCAAGACAGTTTTCACTTTAGATTGCATAAATATTTTGATCTTGTTCGTGGACGTCATTACTTGTTAGTTATCCCTTAAAATAATTGACATAGTGTGAAAGAAATACCATATACCGTCACAAAGTGGAAGGCCACATTGCGGAAAAAAGATACAAATTCGACAAAACTCTGTGTGGGTCTACAATTAGGCCAAAATCACCACTAATTCTGTGTATCCGAGTAGCTAGTGTATAAGAACGTGTCTGCTTTGGTTAAAAAAAATCAAATCTGTGACAAATTTCCATGCAGTGAATCAAAATGTGGAAATTTAATTGAAGGATCATGTGTCCGGACAGATAACCTCAAAAAATCCTTTCAGGATTTTGGAAAAAGGAATTTAAAAAGCTCCGTATCTAGCACAATTGTGTTTGAGAAAATCAAGAAATGAGCAAAGTGACTGAAGGAATGGAAGTTCAGGATAAAATCTGATTTTTTGTCATCTGCACTTCATTCTTATTCAACTCAGAAGAAAAACCACAACTTTGGCCAATTTTTTTCTAGAGATGAAAAGTAGATTCTATGCAATTTTTTCCCCTAAAACTGGTCTGCACCCTACAATCGTTGTTATCTGTGTTAAGATTCCATTAGAATTATCCAACATGTTTTTTGGAATTTTCAACGAAATTGCAACATTATACTGTCGTTGAGATCCGTTTACACTAGATCTCACACAACTTCAAAATTGTCAATTATCAGAATAAAAACTAAAGACATTAAAGCCCCAAAATCACTCCTAAGGATGTATTATTTTTGCTTAAGATTTCAACATAACAGCAATGTATTTTTTCGTGGAAGAGCATTTGAATAAGGCAATTAACGAAATTGAACTGCAAGAGCATTCTGCCTTGTAACTACTGTTAGTTACAGCACAAAGTCTGCGGGACAAAAGACTGCATTATATTTACACTTGCCAAGTTTGGCCTTGTACTGTAAATTCTGAGATTCGTGGATGAGATTCGCGTCTGATTGCCACACAGAACCCAAGGTTGTCGGTTGAGTTTGAGGGATTCGCTGACGGCCTTGATTGGTGGTTTTCGTGGAAGGTGACTTGATTTTTGGGATGTGGTAGACAGGCTTAGGAGACACGACGGGCCGTTTCTCGTACCAGTGGTTCGGAATTAGGCTTGGTGGCTGGGGACCTACACTGCCCTTTGGATGACTATTGATGTCCCCTCCTAGCAGAGGGTCCCCGGAATTGGAAAACGGTGGTTCATCGCCGACATCGTCAACAGCTTGTTCAAATCCGACGACCATGTCTTTGTGTTGGAGGTTGGTCGGATGCGTGGGTGGTAAAGAAATTTTGTCGTTTTCGTTTATTTGCGCCAGACTGGACATTTCAGAAGGGAGCTTGATCTCGATTTCGTGGTGGCTGGCCTCTTTCCGTTTTCGACGGATGGCAAAAACTAGAATACAAAATAAAATAATAAGGCACTTTTTAAATATACATTGTTTATCTTTTCAACCTGTAGGCAATACCTTGCTTTTTTCATAAAAGCATGTTTTGCCCATACAATGACAGAATGTCGTGCAAATTACTCACAGACCGACAAAGTGTTAGGATAGTACTGACGTGTCCAGGCATTACACTAAGATCCTACATTCTGAAGCAACCAGACCAGTTACTCACTGTCCATGCTAAGCAAAACAAACGAATGGTAG